AAAACTCAAGATTGCCATGTGTTTTATTGTCAGTACAGAGGAGAAAGGTCCGGTTTACCCTGGAGTAAGTAAAGCAAGGTCTGAGAGAAGCTCCTCATTTCAAGAAAGGACCTTATGGTGAGAAAAAGAAATCTTGCACTGAAAATTCCTTAAATTGCCATGTTAGTGAGCGAACATAAAATGGATGGAACATCTGAGTTTGGAATGTTTGCTCCACAGTTGTTCCTTTGACCATGTTCTTTTGAAGAGACCCCAAACAACAATGCAGACCAAGGCATAAGACACAATTTTTGAGTCGCAATTTTGTATGCTCTTCTTATCTGTTGTTAGATGCCCAGAGTTGATTCAGCAAGATGGATAGCCATAAACAAGGAAATAATAATAGTGACAATTACAATACTAATGCTAATCCTAATAAAAATGTCCCCAATACATTCACCATGGACAGAGAAATACTGATAAATCATTTTGTATTTTCCAAAGAATTCAGTTTGTTCTATATTTAGCAAAGCACATCTGTTGTCAAGTCAGAAATGGCTTCATGATGAGGAATGTAACCTCCTGAGATGTTAAATTCTCTTGAGGTGTTTTCAGTGAACTATTATGGAAATAACAAATAAAGTTGCCTCCAAAATGAGACAATGTCTGTAGACCCTTCCTTTATTTCTCTAACCCTCCCCCACCCCACATACATTCATATATACCTACATATATATTTATTCAAAGCCATTCATTGTGACAACACTGCCCCCTGGTGTAAGACGAGAGGAGGGGAGGCATCTACTTAACTTTCCCAGGAGATGCCTGTTCTTCCCTCACCCTCCTTTTTCTCTAGGCAGACCGGCTAAGCAGGGTGGATCATTTCTCACAATCTGCTCTGTAATAGTTTTGTATTCTTTTCGTAAGATAATAATTCTTACCATTTCTTGTCCATCTTCCATCATTAATGTAAAAGGAATGAAAAAGGAGCAACAGGTAGAAATAATTAAACTGAGGAGTGTTGGCGATATTGAGAGAATGAAAAGAGATGGACTGCAAAAATCATATACAAAGGAAGAAATAAAGACAATGAAATCATATAACAATCTCTAATGAAATTTTAATTACCAAAAAAAAAAAAACTTTTCTAATTTATTCTACTGCCACTACAATTCCTTCTTGTCCCCCATCCTAGGGCTAACCAGGTTCTCCACTGCTTTCTCCAAAATCAGTCCTGGAGTCACACTTTCTCTACTGTGGATTTATCTGCTGTTTCTTAGTTATAAGAGAAAAATTCAAACTTCTGTGACTGAATCATCTTGGAGAGCTGCTCAGAGGAAGAGAAGGTTCTTGCCTGGCTTCAGATTCACTTTCTTTCACTGTGTGTCTCGTACAGTGTCCTCTGGCTTCAAGTTGTTCATTTGCAAATAGAGTTGGCTTTTGGAATTGTCTCGGGAGATGATGAACTATCCATTCACTTTATCAGAATAGTGAATAATACTTGAGTCATTCTTTATATGTCCAACCCATTCCAGTCCTTTTCCTTGATACTGTCTCACCCAGTTCATCCAGTAGCTGCTGAAGGTGAATCCAGAGGCTTGGCAGGAAAGACGGAGGGAACCTCCCGGTCTTCTCACATCCCCTCCAGACTCCACCAACTGGACTTCAGATCGGATACCTAAAATGAAAGAAGTTTCAATGAGCTCTCCTGCAGAGAACAAGAAAAAAAGGAAAGAATTCTACAGGGAGGAAACAATTACCTCTAAGGACTGCTAGTAAGGAGACCAAGGTTATCCAGAGGTTCATTTTTGGCTCCCTCTAATGGATGGAAAGAATTGACAGGAGAGGATTTGGGAAACTGCACCACCTTTGTGTTGGTGTGTGTGGCCTGACAAGGGAAACCATCTGGCTCTTTTAAAGAGGAAATTGCTCCTTCATTTACATAGAGATTGGGATAAAAGAGCCTTTAAGGGCACTGATAGCATAGATTTTCTTGTACACAACTTCCATCTGTGATTTTCAAATCAAATTCTGGTCCTTATTAAAGTGAGGGCAGGATTTTTTTTTTCCTTCTGTGAGTTAATAGGAGAAAACCAGGTTTACTTTGGGGTAAGTAAAGCAAAGACTTTGAAAAGGTCAGTTGCCAAAAATAATTCAAGGTAACAGACAATAAACTTAGGGTTAATGCCTTCTCCAAGGAAACCTGTTAGAGACTGGATATAAAAAGGCTGGCACATCTGAGTTAGGAAGTTTGCTACAAGGTTGTTTCCTTAACATTTATATCTTTGTTTATTAATATTTATATTCTTCTGTGAGTTAATAGGAGAAAGCCAGGCTTACATTGTAGTAATTAAAACAAAGACTTGCCAAATTTCACCCCTTATTGGAGACTCCTGAGAATATCATGGATAGCCAAGAAAATAAACAAATGGATCATTGAAGAAATTAACCCAGAGGTCTTAAGGAACAAATGACCAGGGCCAAATTATCCTATTTTAAACACATTATGTGAAGATCCAGCTCTTTTGAGAAGGCTCCGATGCTGGGAAAGGTGGGCAGGGGAGAGGACAAGCAGCAGCAAGATGAACAGACTCAGTTTTGACAGCTCCGTGGGGTCAACCAGACAGGAATCACAACCAGATGACCTCATTCTACTTTATTCTAATGCTACATTGACAGAATCTTGCAAGTCTGAAAGTCCAATTCTCTCCCCCACCCCGTATCTTTTACAGCCTGAGAAATTGGGGAGGGTCTCTTCTGAAACTCTTGCCCCACCCACTATCCAG